CGAAGTAACTTCTTCAGTGATGTGATCATCAGAGGTGACACATCTACCAAGGTAAGTGAAAAGATCCATCACTTCCAGCGGCTGTTCGGCGATAGCTAATACCGGAGGTGTGCCGGTCTAGTCCTGCAGCAGTACTTGGTACTTTGAAGGATCCAAGTATATGTCAAAGCGTGTCGTTCTACGCGTCAGTATAACAAGTAGTGTTTCCATGCTCATTGCGTCAGGCTCAAGAAGAGCTATGTCGTCCGCATACTCCAAGTTTGTCAGTCGGTCACCTGGCAGAACTTCCACTCCGGTAAAGTTGTGAAAGAACCGAGTCATTCATGAGAATTTCAATCAAAATGTTGTAGAGAAATGGAGATATGGGACAAACCTTGTGGACCCTACTTGTTGTGGGGAACTCAGAGGACATCTTCCCGTAGACCCTTACATTGTTTCGGGAGTCAGAGGCTGTGTGATGGAAGGAAATTTAGCCGGCACGCTCTTTATGGGCAGGCAGTGCCACAAGCTGGCGCGGTCAACAAAGTCTGAGGCGGCTTTCAAGTCAAGGAAAGCCACCATAGTCAGTCGTCTGTGTGTCTCTGCACTGAAACTTGGGGAAGAGTGAACTTGTGGTCAATACAACCACGACCAGAGCGAAATCCAGCCTGGTTTTCAAGGATTCGGTTCTCACGGGGACCAGTTAGTCATCGGAGAATGTTAAGCCAGGCAATCCGGTGCCTTAAGAGTACAAAGTTGTCCCACACCTGTGACCGTGAACTTCACTATCACCCACTCTTGTGCAGTGGTTCTTGCGTGTGAGGCCGCCGACTATCCGAGGCCCACAATCTCAGCTTATCCCATGTTGGCTGCTGTCTTGCTTGTTTCATGAGAATACGTTTGGTCAGTGCACTGTCCTGTGCGGTGAAGTCAATGTTCAGACTGCTATACGCCACCTAAAACCGCAATCGTAACGGCCTTGAGGAGTTTGGAGGCAACGGAAACGAGGCTAATGCCTCCATGATTTTCGGATAAAGTGAGGTTAACCCTTCTCGTGCCTGAGAGTAGGCAGTCGCTAGTCTGGATGCACTTCTTCGGTGTTCCAAAGCATGTTAAATATGGAAGCGAGCCCAGTCAACAGACAGTCACTGCCATCTTTCAGAAAAGATGGAGGAAGATCCTCGGGCCCAGGAGCTTCTTTTCGCTTCAACACGGAAAGCACATACGATACTCTTCCAAAGTGAGAGGTGTGACCTCTACTTAGCACGTCGGCACCGGTGATTCGGTAGGCCGCATTGTCGCAGTAGGTCGGCGATACTTCTCTTCAAAATGTTCCGCCCAACGGACTACTCGACGAGCTTAAGAAGCAATCATTTGTCCATCTTTTTTAGCTATTATCTCACTAACTTTGACTTCTCAGACTCGTGTTCCGGATAAGTTGGAATAGCAGCCGTTTGTTTCCAATAGCTCTAGCTTTCACCAGTTAACGGATACTTGCAACCCGTGACTTTCCAGGTAGATTCGAGGAATCCTAGTCTGATGTCGTTTCAGAAACTTACGGACACGCTGGAACCCCGTGCCAATCGGAACATGCTTTCGTGCTTCGCTCAAGCTGACTATTGCTTCAGAGATTCATTCACGGTTACAGCGTCTAAAGTTGTGTGCACAGTGTACGTCAAAAGCATTCTACATGGCACATTTGATACGCTCCCAGTCAGCATTCCGTTCACCAACCTCATTCATCACGGGTGTTTGGCGCGCCACTTCGTCATGGTGTTGTTGATCTGCAGATTGCGAGTGCAACGAACAGGTAAAAAGGATAGAAGATAGGCGCTTCTTTATAACGGGAAGAGTGAGCGCCAACTGAGCGCGCACTAGAGCTTGGTCGCAATCCAGGCAACTACTCACAATTGATCGAAATTTTGGACTGATGTGCACCGTCTGTAGTTGATGACAATCAAGTCGATTTGGGACAAGTTCAATGAGAAATTCGGTGGGCGCCAAGTGAGGCGCTGTTAACGTTTGTGCTGAAAAGTTATACAGCTAAGGTAAAAGTTGTGTTCTGCGCGCAGTTGCAGGAATCGATCGCCATTGCCTGTTCCGCGTGCACCGACTCCAAAGCGACGGCAGAGGTATTGTTCAGCTTCTGAAAGATGACCCACTTGGGTATTCATATCACACACAAACAAAATGTTAGTATGCTTCGCCGACCGAAGAAGAGATGAGAGCTGTTGATAGAAATATTTTATATAGTCTGAACTGCATTCAGTAGGGGCATACACTGAGGTGATGGATATGCACATTGTTTTCAGGCGATGCTTATTATCTCCAAGGAAATTTCGCAGTCGAAACGCACATATGCAACTGTTCATCGGTATTCAGTCGAGAAGATTGCATTTAACGCTTTTTCTGGGTGCCATAAATACCTTGAGGTAGTGAATCGGTAACACCAGAAACGCGAAGAGTTTAACCATTGTCGTTGAATGCAGAAACAAGGAGTAGAGTATCCGTATCAACGCTGTTATCTTGTATGCGTGTTTCGGAGACATGGCACACATCAATAACAAGTGAGTGAAGAGTGAGAGTGAGAGTACTGTCTACAAGCCGATCAGTCCTGAAGTGCAAACGTGAAATGAAACCCTAGGTTTTATGGAAGAGCTACATGTATCGATGACAACAGCTACGAGGTCAGCACCAGTCTCCTGTTCGATAGACGAGGAAGAAAAAGGTTGAGAGAGGAAAGAAAAAGAAGAAGAAGAAGGGGGAATCTTGTCGATTTAGTCGACAGAAGATATGCTATCCCCCGGCTGCACGTCCCCAGAGGTAGTTTTGCTCGAGGTGCCCTACCTCAGGATTTTGATTCAATAGCCTGACCCACAAAGCAGGGAGCAAATCCAGCTTGAGATTGTGATTGTAGTGACCCATTGGGATTTGCTTCCGGCCTGTCGCGCACAGAGTTTGAAGCTTTAGAACAGTGCAGACAACCAGATGCAGGTGGGAGTTGGCGGATTTGCATCAATATGGCCAGGGACTGCCTAGCTTGAGGCGGGCGGTAGCAAACCCTTGAGTACCGAGAGGTGCCCTCCCACCATCAGAGACAATGTGTGGCGCTCGTGCTCTACGTCAATCGAGGTCTGAGCTTACTACTCCTAGACTTGTTGTCTTCCATGGTTAGTTTTTAAAGAAGGAGGGCAATCGACTTCTCCCTGAACCAAGAGGATTGGTCTGTGAAACTGAGGTAGTCTGACCCCTAACCATTGATCTGTGTGGGATAGTGGCTCCGAAGGCATTTAGAAATTGCCACACAGTATAGTTCAACGGGTAACGGGAGTACGCAAACCATCGCACCACGCTAAGGTCTAGCCTTTTTACGATGGACTGATGAACTCTGGTGAAAGCTAATGCTTACGTAGCCACAGGAATCGCTCAGGTCTGGTGAGGATAAATGTAGTTTGTGAAGCCACACGTTAACTCATTGGAGCCACAACATGCCGAAGTATGCAGGGCACTTTAAACTTTTGCACAACCCCGGTACATTGGTATAAACAGCAGAATGTACGATGCAGCCATCAAGTTATTCACCCTACGGTACTTTTCCCCACTACGAATTGTGTCCATCGTTTTGACACATAGCAGATGTAATCCGGTAATTTGATTAAAGTCAGAAACGAGCTTTCGCTGTCGAACAGATAGAAACTGGCTGGTGCAATCGTAATAGTTAATCAGAACCTCCTAGCGTTAATAGTTTCTTTTACTTTCTGAAAAATGGTGCAATTCTTATGCTACGAAGCATTTTCTGAGCAAAGGAATCAGCTTTTCGGCTCAGTAGTCCTTTTCCGCAATGCTAGGGACCGCATGATGACCCATTGGAAATAATCATTGACTGAGTCTAGATGCGATAAATTTCCTCCTATAAGACTATCAGTAGAAAGCAAATGAAATGCGGCATGTAAGACCCACAGTATCATTCGTTTCTCAAAGACGCCGTCATACATTTAGTTAGAAATCATTTAGTTGGTTTGTGTTGTTTGACACAGAAGAGTTTGCAAGTCAATCAGTTAACAACATTAAGGAAAACTAACAGCACCTAATTTATCATCGACATCCACCAAAAGTGGATCCAGTTAAGGCACTAGACGCAGAACTCTCAACAGGAGAATTTCGCTCCTTCAGCATTCACGTACACTAGTTTTCAAAGGCAAGTAATTTTTATGTCGTATTTCTGTTGTATATACATTGATGTCTAACTTGGGTTTTTATCAGTCCCAAACACGGAAATCGACCTTGCAAATGTTCGTAGCAGTAGATATACGTCCAAATGTTAACTCTCTAGTTACATAGCTATGGAGCCATCTGGGAAATTTCAAATCGAAGACACACACCACCTTTCAGTTATACGTCATTGCTTTGATTTTCATCAATTTGAGTTAACTTTTATGAGAAACGGGCGTCGCTATGGTGATCGGGCCTAACTACGGATAGCCGCATCTTTCCAGCAAACCGTTCATGACAGACAGATTTTTGAAATGCAAGATCGATAGGAATTTGGTAGAAGAAAGACACGTGAAGCTAAGATTCCTGCTAGGTAAGATCAATTTAAGCCTCTTGCATCTCTTTCGTCTGGATTTTTTGCATCGGACATGAACACTCACGCATAAAATCCCAAGGCCAAGTTGAATAAACGTCATCCGCGGGTGCATTTATGATTGCAAATTGTAACTTCATGACAACTGACCTCTGAGTACATAGGTTAATGACAGAAATATCATGCGTAGCTTGCAAAAGAATAACAGGGAACACGAAAATATTCTGCAGCTATATATGCTTGTTTAACGGCTTTGTAATTGATGAAGTGCATTTACGTACCGCAGTTAAAACGTTTGTTAGGACAATTTTATCAACTGCTTAGCTCCGGCATGTTACGTGTCTCACAAGAGATGCGATATAAAGTTGAATGTTAACCATACATAATTCGAATCAAATGCCAATGTAAAATCAAAAGACAGTGTGACAACTCCTACCAGTTCAATGACCATCCGTCGAAGTGTCTGCCTCTTCTTTGCGGACAACTGCGCAAATACATCGCAGTCTGGTTCATTGAGGAGTTTAAACGCTACATACAAGTGATGGTTTTCCAGCACGGAGGCGTCATTATATTGTAGAGCCAAATCATGACCTGAAAAGAGATATGCAACTTTTTGTTATTGCCGTTCATCGTTATCATATTTGTACGGAATTCCACCTCGCAGTATCCACCATCGGGGACAACAAGCGAACAGTAAGATTGATGAGAACAGAAACACTTAAGTGGTGTGAACACGGTCAAATATCAAAGATTACAGTGGACAATGTATTCTGGCTTATAACCTGTGGACAAACTATGTTACAAATTGGTCTGCACACTGACATTGTACCAAAGAAGATAAATGAGCTGTACTTGTGAGTTCAAACATGTACAAATCATAGGGATCTGTAAATGTGCAAATAAAAAATGGCTGACTACTGGGGTGCTAATACATTATGATAGTCTCGAAACTTTTTATAGGCAAGTGACAATAGAGTCTAGGATTATGCGCTTTAGCGGTGTGTAATTATTTAGCACCTGAATGATTAAATATTAGGAATTTCACCAGGCGGATAAGTTGAAAAGCGTAAAAAACTTCACACTAAGTTTAAGAGACTGAATGTTAAGGACTGAGGACAGGATAAAGTTGTTATCCACGACATAGTGCTGCACGTCCACCAACACTTTCTGTGTCCTCGGTATGAGAAGGCAGGTGGGGTCAGCAGAATCGCCACTTACCACTCCAAGATCATGGCATAGTGAATGTGCTTAAACAAGTGGTAAGCATGAAGGATTGCTTGAGGATTATTCCTGAATTTGGCAAAACGTCATGCTATCTTGAACGTCTTCGATCAATTAAAAAGGTAACTGACACTTGCTTGTAGGAATACAGAAAGATTGAGGTAAACTTTGCTGTTGGCAAGTATTCATGCTATCAGTACTTTTCTGGAGGTACGATGTCATTATCATCAACAACAGCAACACATCAGTCATTTGAACTGATGCTTCGCTACCATACAACCATGATGACCTATGAAATAAAGCATAATAAGAGGGCGAGAAGGGGTCCTTACCTGAAAACTTTAATGCCCTAAACAAACATTCGTGGTCAAGGCGCTTACACCTTGTGTTAAAAACGTACCGTCACAAACAGCTGGCTATCGTGCATCGGTGAGACAGCTTCCTTGCGGCTTTCTTTTGCCCCGCGTCATAATCAACCATTAGCCCGCAGATAACTCAGCACCAAACACACTTTAAACAGGCAATCCGTTTAGGAGACGGCAGCAGACGCGCCACTGCTGTCCGTTACGAGCCATGTCCTGTAAAGTCTCGAGCCAAGCAGAGGGCGAGTCACGCGGACTCCAGCCCGGAAGGCGAGACGGACTAACGGCACCTAGTTTGGTCGTCAGTGACTTCATTTCCCGCTGCCAACTCAACTTCTGTCCACCTCGAGCCTTGCGCCATCCTACACCTGGTAGACTGAACAAGGCCCTCTTAGGTAAGCGGTGACCAAGCATATGTAGCACCAGCCCGAGCCAACGCAACTGGTTTAGTGCTATCTGTTGTTCTAGGGAGCCAGCATGATTATTATCTCTTAGTACTCGCCTACGCACATCATCGTTGCGAACACGCTGGTGCCATCCGACACCAGCAATGCTTCGCAAACAAGGATGATCAAAGACTTAAAGGCGCCTCAGATCCTCAGACCGAAGCGGCCAAGTTTCACTATCATAGAGCAAAACGGCCCTCACTGTGGCCTTGTATACACGGCCTTTCAGACGGAGGGGAATTCCCTTCTGTCGCCAAAGATGCTGCAGATACAAGAAGCCAGCTATGGAACTTGCATTATATGAGCTGACGTCAGTTTCTACGCGCTCATCGTTACTGACGCACCTGCCAAGATAAGTGAATTGATCAACTACCTCGAGTTCCTCCTTATCAAGGGTTAAGGGGTCATAAAATGGCTGGTGGTCCTGCAGCAACACTTTTGCAGTTTGAAGATGTGAACTGCATTCCAAATTATGAGACCAATCTGGACAGGCTATTCAGGGTTGATTGTGCCGAAACATCGTCAAAAAGCAAGACGACTTCGTCGGCATAATCAAGATCAGCTAATCTTTCACCAGGAAGCACTTCAACGCCTACATCGTGAGATTACACGAGGGAACACTCCATGATAGAATACAGAAAGAAATGGAACAAAAACGGGAAATTGGACAATCCTGACGAACGCCACTTGTGGCCGGAAAGCTATCCGATAAGCCACCGTAGACTCTAAAGCGGCCTGTAGTGTTCGAGTATGGAGCACGAAGGATGTTCACATATTTCTTGGGAACACCTTTCCGCGCAAGTATTTCGAACAAAATCGATTGATCGACTGAAACGAAAGCACCCTTGAAATCGAGGCACACGGCTATTGTCGGTATGCGGTGTGCGTGGCGCTGCTCTAGCACTGCCGCAATGTGAATATATGGTCTATACATTCACGTCCTGAGCGTAAACCTGCCTACGCTTCCCTGATTCGAGATTCCTGTTCGATAGTGAGGCGAGGAACGAGAATCGAAGCCAGTAATTTTGTCACAACTGGCGTTAGGCTAATACCCCTGTGGTTAGAACAGTCTGTGCGACTGTTCTTTTTATATATTTCCATTATAATCGATTCGCTCCAATTAGCCGGGACACCTTCTTCCTTCCAGATACATTCAAATAGGGAGGTCAGTATTTGCAGAGGAGCGTACCTCCATCCTTAAGTAGTGCAGGTGGAAGGAAATCCGGACCAACGGCGCGAAAACGATTAAGGGCTGTGATGGCGTTTCGGACCTCCGCCTCTGACGCAGGCTCTAAAGAAACCGTCCGTTGCTCGTCCTTCATTACTTGAGTAGGAAGAGGTCCGGGAGCAGGGGGCCAGCTGAACTGATCCTGAAAGTGTTCCGCCTAAAGAGCCATACAGCGCTCCTCATTGTGTATCAGTGAACCCCCGCTGTCTCTGATTGACACACTGACGCCTGGTTTCCTGGGATCAGTGGTGCGGATCAGCTGGAAGGGCTTGTGGTACTTATCTACTGCACCTGCCTCCTCCATTTCTTGAACCCGACTGGTCTACCGGGCTTCCTTCTTAGCACGTAGGTTTCGCTTTTGTTCGCGCCAAATAGCCCGTCTGGTCACATTGTGTTTAGAGCCAGCCGGGAGATTTCTTCTAGATTCCAACAGGTTCACCGGCCTCTCGGATATCCAGTGACTGGTGCCGTGACGATGGATAGTGCCACGAGCAGATACTCCTGCGTCGTGCATGGCGGCCGAAATTCTATTCCACTGAAGTTAAGGTTCATTAGAACAACACAGCGAAAGTTCGGTACGCAGTGCGTCTTGATAGGCTTGCCTGACCGAGGTCTGTGACAATTTCTCAGTTGCCAATCGGAGGAGACGCTTATTGCGCCTCCAGGTAAAGTTCATCGACAAACGACAGCGTACTAAGGCATGATTAGAGTCGACGCAGGTACGCCAGTACCAGCGGCAATGCAGGATGGATGCACGCCATCTGTAATTAATGGCTATCTGGTCAATTTGGTTTCGTCGCTGGCCAGCTACAGCTACAAGTGGCACTTCGGCGCCCACTGTGTCTAAAAGCAGTGCTACTAAGAAACAACTGGTGCTCCGCACACAGTTGCAGCAGACGCTCGCCGTTGTCAGTCCGTTCGGATTTAAGTCTAATTACCACCCAGCTGAGCTTCTGAAGTGCTCAGATGTCGTACTTGTGCGTTCATATCTCCTGCAATACTATAATATCTGAACTAGTAGCACTGCATAGTAGAGCATTCAGTTCGTAATAGAATGTGTCCATGACAGCAGTTGACCTGCAGTCTGTGGAAGCATAAGCGGAAATCACAAACAAACAATGTTTTGTACTACCTCGTGATTCAACCTTAGCTGACGTCGTCAAAGGGACAGCACAAAAACGGCTGTTCACCAGAATCCAATCAACCAACAATGGCACAGCCTTGAATTTTAGAATGATACCTACACCAGCTTGACCCGTGAGTGCTGCATCAGCGTCTCCGGATGCTTGCAATCAATAACGAGATGATAAGTCGGGTGCAGTTAATTCAACAATTCTATGAGCGTCATTGATTCTAGTTGCGGACACACAACACACATCGATATCCAGTGTGTCCAAAGTGCGTGCGCATGCATCCTGTTGACCTGTTTGTCTCAGAGTGTGAAGGTTGAACGTCACCATGGAAACGTGACAGCGTGGCCTTATAGGGGACTTTTGCCGATAGGCGTCCGATAGGTGCTGTGGGATGATGGCTGTAGATGGTTCTACTCCAGTAGCATTTCGGTTGCTATCAGTTAATCTGGGAAATATAGAAGGAAGGTTAGTAATGGGGTTCGGGATGGGAGTAAGAGAAAAAGGTGGGAAAAAAAGAAGTGAGGCGCCAGCAGTAGCATGCTTTCGCTTATACGTCCTGCTATTTATAGCAGACAAGGCAATCCTTGATAATCTGCGCGACAGCCGATGCAAGATGAAGTTTATTTTTGAAGAAAAGGTCATGGTTGTATGTAGACTGAGATACTGCCAGGGCTCCCATACCTGAATAGGATGACGATTAGGGTCCTCATCCAAAGCCTTTAGCTCAAAAGCCTGTCCGCAAGACAGCGGGGAGGTGGCAATGATTAAGTTTTACAGAAATGGACGCCATCCCATTTCAGACCCCCAACCTGGAGGACCAGGAGACTGAGTTTGTCTGAACTCTCATCACTGACCGACCTGGTAGGAGTGGCCCGCAAGTGCCGGGAGGCACCACCCAGTATAGCTCAATGGGTCACATAGTTACGCAAACCGTCGCACTATGTTAAGGCCCAGTCATGTTGCGACGGTGGAGGTACGCTGGCTAGAGGATGATTTTAACTAATGATGGATTTTCTTAGAAATACATATTTGTCCACATTAATCAAGCAATTCCACCTAAAACACAATGCATGGAGTAAGCTGTCGACAGTATAGACAAACTAAGATAGCATGATTACTTTGACGAATATCACTGAGAATACTTCTGTACAGGCCTGTAATCTCCAGCAATCTAACGAGTACAAAGCAAGAAACGGCATTCCAGATAACTCATTGAATGAAATATCGCCGTTCGCCAAAACCTTCGTGTAAATTGCAGCGTATCACAAGCCACACAAGTTAATTGGCTTGTATCGAGGAGACATGCTAATGTGTAGCAGATCTTGGTTTATCAGGATGCCTTTAATCGCCGGTGGCTGCATGGTGGAGTACGCAGCTCAAGTTATGAAGCAAATTTGTTGCTAGTTATGTTGCATCCTTTTTGAGGCCAAAAGCAGAAACTAGGTTGCTGTGGTTGTTGTTGTCACCATTGCATCCACTTGTGTGCAGTGGAAGTCGCGGAGAATCCCCTAATGTGGTCCCTTTCAGTTTGTCTGACACCGGTCTCAAGAAAAGACAGCAAAAATTCATAAAGAAGACAATTTTTGCCATTCATCTTTACTGCCATACTTAATTAATCGTGCACGGTTGGACTAGTAAAAAGACTTAACATTCTTGCAGCATTCGCCACCAGCTATTTACTTCGCATGACCGGCGGAATACTGAATACTGAAAATGTTGAGAGAAACCACTCCGTTAACTTACAGTGTGCTTCAGCGATTAACGAATGGGAAAAATTAAGATATTTCTTACGTCCTAGTTGCTACTTGCACCTGCGTCGTCTCACTTTTCTCGTTAACTTTATTCCGCTTACCTGCCATTTCAAGCACCAACTGGGCAGTATGTGGCATCGTGACGTGTCGCTCAGCGTGCTGATTATCATCCCAAAATAACGCTGGTCACTTGCGCACATTAAGAATCTCAATCACTTCACACATACTTCAAAATTCAATTAAGCATAGTCGTGGCAGCTGGATAAGAGTAAATGGTTCAAATACTGTCCTAGGGTTACTTTGCTGTTCCTACAACATAACATCAGCTTGTGGTATGTTAATGCATGTTCCTTTTATAATGGTTGCGCCATAGCTATACTATCTTAGGTCATATTGTTTGCATTGGCGTTCCTGTAGCGTAATTTAATTCAGCAAGTTATGCAGAGATGCGCAAATGAGGAACAAAAAGTACCAAACCAGCTTGTTTTCAAGGTTACAGCATGTTAAAACAACCACTACAAAGCGGGCTAGAATGGGCACAAGTGGTGTAAACGCTGTGAGGCCAAGGTTATCCTCCGGTCAGTACGATTAATTAAGGCGGTCACACTACTCCACCTGACTTCACATTAACTAGACCAAATACGTAGCTTTATCGCTCAGATGCTTTGCTTCAGTGACTCACCGCCTTTAAACCTCTCGTATCCATTTTAGCCTGCTTTGTACTGGTTTCATCAGCCTAAAGGTAATACTTTGAAAGCGGACTTGTTCGCTAAGAATTTGATGTATTCTCCGGGAATTATCTCGAAATTTACAAAGAAAATTAAATCTACAGTCGTAAAGAATAACCACTTTATATAGGGGTTTCTTAGTGTTCCTGGAGAAGCCGTCTTCCAAGAGCAAACTGACAACAGCTAAAAAACCAGAAGAAACGGTGGATGATCTCAGAATGCCCTCGAAATTTACCTACTATACACTTTTCCTATCAACCTTGTGGATAATGAAGGGACCGAATTTATAGCGAGGCAGCGGTTATTACTAAATGGTCACCGATGGTTGATAAGAGTAAGTGGTTATATTGAATGCAGCGGAAGTCCTTCAATTCACACACGATAGTGTGACAGAAAATTAGTGTGGCCATCTATGCCATGGCATTCGGCGTCTCACATAAGTATTATTTAGATTGTATTTTATTGCTTACACTACCTTCAAAAAATACACAAGTCATTAGTTTTCCAAAATGTGAAAATGCAATTTCACGCCTTTTTGCTACAGTATTGTTTGTAAAATTGTAGCAAATGTTTGGCGCAAACGATGACTAAAATTTGCAAGCTCCTACTTCTATAAACCAGCCTCCGTTGAAATGCGATGAAACTAAGAAATGTGTCATTCTCACTCATAACTGGTTTGTTGGACAGACCAGAAACTGCTGGTATTTGGGGGGATTCATAAAGCGCACCTTGACTCAGAAACCAATACTTGTTAGAGATACGCAACTTATGTGACTGGGTGAAAGAAGAAATTCACCTATTAGTTAACTTGCCTGAATTGACTAAAAATTGGTTTGTAAGTCCAGGATGGTCCACATCATGAACGACGGAAGCAAAAATAACGGCCAGTATTTCGAGATCGCTAAAAACATCCTGTTAGTAAGAGAAGGGAATTAGGAAGATATCTCAAAGTACGAGGAGAAAGAATAATAGAAGGAATGATTTATAGACAAGTCAGTTTTCTTCCAATCACCTTTGGTACCTAGTTCAAACTGTGTAGCAAAGGACGCGCAGGCTGCTAAGAACCAATTGAATCCGCTTTGGACAACTGCGCACCCAAGCTGACTTGTTATCCGACGATTTTAGTATAGGCAAAAAGATCCGTTTGATTATTACCTGTGACTGATTCAGATGCCTTAATTCCACATATCATCATCGATTTGGCTGAAAATTTCTTAAGGTTGCAAACAGAGTAGTTGCCTCCGATGTCACGGCATATCTCCTAACAAGTATATACGAGTTGTCTGGAAGAAAGCATCACATCGTACTTTGACGATGAATTAGGCTAAAGTAATTTTTAGGCAAAGCGAAGTAGAATGAGATTAGACCTAAGATAACCGGTTTGAAAATTTTCACAATGAATTGGTTAGGAAAACGTGAAAGCTACTTGTCCATTTATCACTGTGCGCACAACGTTCTCAAATCATTAACTCGCATGGCCTTTAAATCGGCCGTTGCCTTTGCGCTGGGACGTCAGTTATAGTTTGTCTGCTGCGGATTAGTCAGTTTTTGCTGAGCTTTTTGACATGTCCTTATGTTAGACTAGTTCCAAGTTAACGATTGCAGTCCTTCACAGAATTTTTGAACTTGGACACTGAGATGGTGCGCGTGTTTAACGAAGTTGTTACTACAGGTTTTAGAACTTAAAAACCACCGTCCGGAGCAATGAACTGGTCTTTGATGCTGTAACGCCAACATGATGCAAACTCTGGAACGTATATTGCATTGACACGCACTCTCAATACATTTTTTCATTTGTACAATTTTGTATTCTTAATAATGTTGCTTTAAAACATCCGCAGTGGGCGGTGTAAGATGCTGAAAAGGTGCCATCGCAGTTATAGGAAGCTTATTTTGACTTTGCTTCATTTTTGCATCAGTGAAAGATGCCAAAGCTGAAGGGAAGTATGAGAATGAACGTTTCTTTTTGAAACAATTGCTAAGAAATTTTGGCGACAAAAATAGTCAGATCTATTCATTAACACGAAAAAATCACATGAACTAGATACCGGACAAAGCAACCAAGTCAAAAGCCTGTAATTATTTAAAAGTAGCCTGTGTATCCGACAACAGCACAAATAAGAAACTGTGCTTTTCATTATCTGGTTTGGTAAAATATTCTCATCAAAGCTTCCGAAGAGAATGCGTGCTGTGCCACGGTGATAACTGATTGCCGTCTTCGTTCGCTAGACCCAAATTTACCTGCCACTTTCTTACCAATCGTTCAGAAATGCTGAAGCCACGAGGCAACATTCCTACGCCAAACAGTTCACAATTAGAAACGATATACGGGGAACGATCCGGCATTAACCGGTTAGACAGCAATCTCACAAAGATACAAAGAAACACAAACATTCTCATACCCAATGCTATTGAAATGGTTTTCAATAGCTTTCAATAGCTTTTGTTATAATATCTTTCATGAAAAGATCCTCACATCGGACTTCACTGTAAAGCTCACAGCATTTTCCAAGTGAATACACTTAGTGCATGAACTGGTCCAATGTTGTAAAATTCGTACTGATGTGTCCACCTACCTGGTGGATGTCAGTTTTGGATGACAGATGTAACAGCTAATAATTACAATCTAGTTTTCGACAGAAGATAAGGTGCTCATTTCCTTTGAACCACGTCTTTCTCAACTGCCATAAAAAGGCATTTAGTATGACGGTAATGAGTGTTTAAACTGCGATGCTAGCTCCACCATGATAGAAGTTTGAGGACTGATAAAAGTATACGGCATCCCTCGCATTTCGGAGCTCGTTCTCAGCAGAACTTAATAAAGATCGATGAAAGGAAATACCATTTGAATTTTCCCGTGTCTGCATTGAATACGTAAAAGCATTGCGATAGATATACTTTGTCGGTAGCAGATGAAAATTAGGTGTTGCTTCCTGAAAACGCTTTGTCTGTACTTGGCATCAATCACTAAATGAACGTATGTATGTACGAGGATCACCACGGATGCAATATGCCCAGATATTTGGACAAAAGCATCTCTCTGGAAGTGTTAAATGCCAAACTAAGAGCATCGTAAATGTTGTCATCCCAAATTGAGCACAAAACGAGTAAATCTTTTTTGTAGGAATGCCATAGAAATGTGCAGTAGACCAATGTTACCGGCAATATAATCAACCACATTACTGCATAAACGCAAGAACGGTTAAATAAAGTTAGACTGAATACACGTTCATAAATCATCTTTCCTTTTGTGATTTTTACTGTTGCTGTATTCCATAGCAAACCTTTTTGTTTAATCACTTGTTCAATGGACTCACACGAAGTTGATTTACCAACCTTGGCGTAATAAATGTCACGTGATAGACATTTATTTTGATGCCACTATGTTGTCATCGTTTCCAAAATCAGCTTTGTCTAGAACTATGATAGAACCGTTTAACCCGTACAACATCAAGACCGAAGTCTATAATACCCTAGCAGCTGGAGTCTTGCAAAGATTTTTGCGGGATTTTCTTATTGCCGCGTGTTTGCGGCTAACAGATCAAACTTCAATGATTCTGACTGACAAGTTGAAGTTTATCTACTACATTAAGAAATTTCCCGCTTCAGCCAAAGGCGCGAAATGACCCTTGGCCACATTTGTCTAAATTGTAAATTTTACCATCATAAATCGAACAGAAGATAAACACGATGTCACAGAATCCCCGCAGTTAGCTCGGTAGCTAACACTAGCTTGACTTGACAATACTTTGTTCTGGCATTTGAAGAACATTGTTCAAACTAAAAATGTCAGATCTTTTTGGGATCATGCAATAAAGGGATAATTGTGACACTGCTGTTTCAGAGTGCTGGGCAAGACGTTTTTAACATTACTCTAAACAGAACTGTGCAAATTAAGCTATGGTGCTCATCTATAGGTCCCTATTGAATATGAAGCCCACAGAACTCATAGTTTGGAGAAAATTCTAATGCGTTTTAAAACTTTGCCAAACTTACCTGCAATTTGGACAAATGATGCAAATTCGCGAAAATCCTTAGGCGCATAACGGACTAACCTCAAGCGAAAGAACTCCGTTTTCCTTCAAGCAGATAACTAAGATAAAGCCACACAGATTGCCAAAAATTTGGAGTCAATAACAGCTTAAAGTAGCTCATCGGGTTCATCGAATTATGTATCCTTATAATGTGTTCAGGTATAGATGAAACGGGGTTCCTATACATCGTTTGGTCTACTCCACCTCGCTGACTCAACGCTTGCCTTAGCCGCCTTGTGAAATCTTCAGCTAACCCTTAAGATATTCGACAATCAGTCCTGCCTACGTAAGTGTCACTTTAACTGCAAGTGCATTGGTATAGGATGTGAGAGGCCGAACTGTTCGGAGAGCTGTTCTCATGGTTATCGAAAACGATCCCTTGTGTGGTATTAATGAGCCGCAGTTGGGCGGTCGTGTAGGTGCGTGTCAGAGCGGATCGTAGCTTATGTCTAATACGATTCGCGACTTGATATTATTTGAACGATAGGAACAAATAACGATCCTTATTTTACGCCAGTTGCACTGGTGGCTTACCGTTCGGTGGTCTACTACGGACCTAGAAGAACTTTTGCGGATACCCTTCCTCGGTCGTTAGCGTTTCCGGACTGCGTATTCTTCTGGCCCAGTAGGAAAGCTTCTTCCCTAGACCGAATTTGTATGCAATCGAGGAAAAGCTGGAAAAATGAAGGCACCGCCTCTTCCAGATCGCTTAGCAGTGGGTGGTGCACCGAAGTGTGCCAACCACACCTTTCGTAATTAACGCGTCCAAGAACGGCAGGCTATTCTACTAATGTAATACCTAATGATTTGAAAGAATTCAGTTCAGCAGTGCACAAATACCATTGAAAGTTTTCACCTTAGTGTAGAGTAGTGTCGTCTACATGCTAATTGTATATGTTCTTTGCATCAATAGTGGTTGCAACATTTCGCTTGATTAATGCAAAGAGGATATCTGTCAAAACTGGCCCAGAGGACTACCCATGGCGACACCATTGAACTGATGTACGTCATCTCTTTAAATGAAACTCGCACGTTCTTAGTGCTCAACCGGGTCAATACTCTCAGAAATTCATGGAAAGTCCACCTATATGTTCTGAATCAACAGGAAATCGCACAACTCATCGACCATCGAGCGCAAGGGCAAGTTGGTGAAAAGAGAGTCCACGTCTACGGAGTACATGCCGTCTGTATCCAGCGTCATTTACTGCAGTGTTTCAAGCAACGCAAGGAAGTGTTAAACAATGTATACAGCAGCCGGCGAACGGGTTCCAGGAGTTTTGCCAGCCATCTAATAAACTTGTGGTATGAGGATTGTCCATGCACATGAACGTCCGTAGTGAATTACCTACCTTGCGTAACTTCGGCGCGCCTCTCATTTCGGAGTCTACGTTTCTGTTAGCTTCAGTTGCCGGTATTGTGACTCAGTGATATGGCCATAGAGAAAAAGGATTGGCAGTTGCCTTGCAACCTGCTTTTCTACCGTTATATTGTTGTCCATTTTAGTGTCGATCTAATGTTGCGTTTGTCTACTAGAATAGCTTCCATCTTTGAAATGTACTCCGCCCTTTCAAATGCTAACGATTCCCATTCCCTTATTCGGCAACAAAAGGATCCATTGCTTTGTCGCCTTGGTTCCTTTATTCCCAAAGTCTTTTTTTCAAACAATATTTCTGACTTACCGGTGCATACATATACTGATCTGAGATATCCATCAACTTCGCCCGAAACCATCCTGCACCACCTGCTGATCTTGGTGAGAGAGCACTGCGCGTCTCGTATAGACACAAAATTATCTGTGTATGCATCTTGTCCAAGTTCCTCGGTGGCAATCGGTATCTCAGTCCTAGCGAAAGAATTTCAATTTTTCTCGCGTGAACTGGGCCGAGGACAGATTGTACACGTTTCAGGATTTCAGGAGGGAACTGAGTTGTGACCGCTATTGTAATGGCGCCATGGAGATTACACAACGCCTTAACCCTAGCACGACGCAGAGTTTCGGCAGAAAATGCTCTAAATTTTTACACGAACAAACTAGTGCCAATTTGTTTAATGTACCCGCGAATCGCTTTTGTGTTTCCAATATCTTGTGTTCTCGCTGACGACATGCATCGATGTGTGAGGATTCAATCCTGACCAGATTGATGCTGGTTGTGGGCAAGTTATTCTTTGACAGTGTCTTGGCGAATCGAGATGGAAACCGACCTGACTTGATACATTCCACATACAATATAACTCGCGTGCGTGGTATGGCTAGCTTGTAATGCAACGACAGCAAACGAGCCAATGACCTTGCAAAGTTAGTGGGGAGTCTTCCTTTGAGAAATTTGAATCACTGGGTCCCCGTTATCCACTTCATTAACGCAATGAGAAGACATAGATTACAAGATGTCAACATTTTGATTGCTCCCTTTATTCGCAACGCAGTACAGGCAAGAAACAAGCAGAGTTATCTAGCGTGGTAACCTAGTAACAGTGATAAGCAAAACAAAATTGCGACTGCACAACGAGGATAATAAAATGTTGGCAACCATTGAGGCCTTACTGATAAGGGTTGATCATCAATCATTGTGTCCAGGAAAAACTGATGCAATCAATTGCATTGCCATGGATCGGATTGCGTAATACGCGACTATGTACTTTCCGCGGGACAGCTAAGAAACCTACTATATGCTTCTGAGTAGCCATTTGCCCGTAAGGTTTGCTTGATAAATTGCAATTCACCTTTGCTGTACTCCGTACTGCCCATTCAGCGGACCATATTGAATAACGTTTCGACAAAGCATCATTTGTATTGTACCGATGTAAAGCTGCTGTAGTCTGCATACAAACCGCTCCATGTAGCTGTCTAGTAAACGGTGTGCTATATCTTACTATTTTCTCATCTCGTCAATAGTACATCCAAAAAGGCAGACGGTTAACATCCTCAATTTCATAGATAAACCGCGCACTGGTGTGTGCAGAGTTCATAAATCATAGAAGGGGCTGAGCGCTGTCTAAGGTTAGTGCGATCACAAAAATGTTAGCAGTGCAGATCATGTAAAGGCACATTTGTTCGACGTCTGGTTTGCAGCGTGACTCGATCATTGTCAGGAAGATGATAGCCGGCAGAGAGCCAAGTAGACTGCCCATAACTACGCCAGCTACCTACTGATGTGCCTGTACTTCGAAGATAAGGACACGTTTTCCGGGCAGAATAGCAACAAATCCTTTGTAGAATTTGGTAGATCGGGATTACTTAGAGACCGTGTTAAAACTGCAGTCATGAGGAACTTCAGATGAATACAACTATTAATTGTTATGAGAGTGTTGTATTGGCCTGTTGTATGACATAAAATAAGTTCGACTAGCAAACATGTTCCGATAAAAACCTTTTCTACTTTAAAACTGACATATCAAATTGAGTTGATCAACAGACTAACCTCCAAAGTCTCAGCTTGAAGCAGAAAATGCGAAGTTTGTGTTACGTCTGCCGCATGCAGTGAATTATGGTACGGTACATCTGAGTGATAGTTGGATTCCACTTTCAACAGATATCGCACCAAAGTGGCGGCATCGATCGAAAATATGTGCATTAAATCGCGTTTCTGTAATAAAGAAATACGATAATGTTCATTTAGTTTCTTGTTATGTGTAGGCGAACATTAACTCCTGCTGAAATGAAATATGAGATGAGACGCAGATAGATTCAAGTTTCTGACTTCTAGCAAGTTGTGGAACAGGATACGTTTCCCTGATATGCAAAAAGTGAGAATGACTTTAATACTTAAGTTGCTAAACCAGACCGCTTCGCTTAAGCCATGGTCAGTAAATCCAAGTTTTATGAAACGAACCTTCAAATGGGCACGTTTAACATCTAGTGACACATAGAAAAACGTCATTGATTTGTCCCAAACTGCCCATTGGTATCTGGGTAAGAAAATAACTCTCTCTGAGATAAAAACGAAGCGTGACTGTTTTGCCGCATGGAGATTGCAGGATAACTGATATAAACTTCGATGCCGCTGATGATGTCATTGTAAATAAAAACTAGTTTTATTTTAGGTAACATTTAAAAACATAAGAATAGAAAGGAAGACCTAAAACGCCAAACATTTGCCTAAATGCATGTGCTCCCTTAGTTGAGCAAAATTTCAAATATACTGATCTGTAATGTGCCTCAATTGGATAGTCGGCCAGTGGCCGAGTGGTCTGTAAGTTTGGTTTGCAACCATAAGGTCACCGGTTCGAATCCACTTAGGAGTGGGCGTCATCGCGGTATACTCAGCCCGCGCGCGACTGGTGGTGGTAGCGCGGCAGCGAAGCGCCGTTACGGCGTACAGCTGACATATATTTTTTTATTTCATTGCAATTTCGAATTCACTACGGTTTTACCAACTGAAAATCATTGTCTACCCAAGTGTCAAAGTGATGTTTATCAATATGAATACTACACCAAAAATAGTAAAACGGTTCATTCTTGTTTGCCCAAGTAATTTAATTGGAAACTTTAGCGATTTTGTAAATTGTTTTCGTGGAAGTCTCCACTTCCCCCTGCATACAATTTGTTAAGCGGAGCATCGATATAGATGTGCTTGAACGAAATGTTGAAATCAGAAAGAAGGCTTCATCCGCAGACACAACTTACATTGCCAGCTGAGCCTTTGTTTATAATGCTTTTCTTAATAAAATGAAAGCGGTTGACTGTAAAGTGTTCCTCGCCCTCTTATTTTTACCAAAAGTTTAGTAAACTGGACGTTTCTATAGTAAATAACGGTAGACTATCTATTAGACATGAAACGCTTACAGTTGTTCATTTTGTGATACCTCGTGAATAGCTGTGACGAGCGGTATCGATTTATATATTTGAGTACCAGCCAATATTATGTTATCATTAGTTATTTTCCGAGGAAAAACACAGCAGTGGTTGCATAAGATATCTGGTTATTATCACAGCACAGCTCGTGGTCACAACAGTATGAAAACAATATATAATTTAATAATTTCATCTTCTTGAAACTTCTGAAAGCTGCAGCATAGGTCAACGTTTACTAATAAGATTAGACGTGGAATTCTCCCCACGATTATAATTTCTCCCTTGCTAGTAAAATAATGTTTACGTCTGCGCTGTATATGCCATTTGCGCACGTAAATTGAACCCATCCGCATGCATGAAACCGAGACCGAAAATGATCCCATTGTTTGGAATGACTAAAATATGCCGCAAACTAAAATCAGTTTACACTGGTGACTGGTAGGTACCCACATGCAGACATCCTGGTCCGTGTGCATACCTGAAAAATACGATAAGCCGTTGTGGTAAGGGCGTGACCATTTGAAAGTCGATCGATTTCAAAAATATCCGCTCCCCACGTATCCAAAGTTTGTGTGAACCGCTGTTTGTGGAAAAATACGAAAAGGACACAACAGCTTCTCAGTACCAAGACATAATAAAAGGATGGAATACCTTTAATAGCTGTTGCAAATCTGTCTACAACTAAGGTTGGTAAAAATATGGGATACAAAAGCAAACTCATTTTGGCTTATGTATTAGGCAGAAATAGATTGAACTACGCAGGCAAATAAATCCGTTACTATTAAACTGAAGCACGTTTACGACGGAGCATTGCTCGAGCATTCAAATAAATATGAGGATAGTCGTTAGGGGGAAAATTACTCGTACCTCTTACAAATCCTGTATCACACTTGCCGTTGCCATCCTCTTAAGCGACTGCAAAGTAATAATTAGTAGCGGAATACATTACTAATTCGAGCTGGTAAGCTAAAAGGGCAGTGAAGGATAAGGACGTGAGAGAAACGATGATGACGGATTATATGCCGGGTACTTTAAGTCAATGTCGCTAAATCTATTACAGCTGTCTTTTTGAATGAAGGATCATGAAAGAATTGTGAACGTAAAACATGGTGCATAATCTGGTTATAAAGATTTATAAAAATGATACTGATTCTTACAAAATTAAAGATCTTATTAACTTGAATGACGCCAGTGGACATTAGGCACGGCCAAACAAATTAGGTTAATTTACTCGGTACAATGTTTGGCAGTTTATTTCACCTATCCACTTCGTTTTTGCGAAGGAGAATTTCGGATTTCTGATCGGCGAATACTTCTCAAATGTGAACTATACGTTGTTAATTTTACTGCTATTTCTCCCCTAACCCCACAACTATAACCTTTGATATTACCAAAAACTTGCAAAATAGAAGCAGAAAAGCTGTCTACTTTTCCTGAGCCACAAGTTTGCCTGCGTCAACAGGACTACATACAGCTACTTTCACTTGCTATTTGTTTGATGGACAACTGATTTAAATTAATGAGTGGCCGTGTTTTCGGTAAGTCTTATAGACCAAGAGAAGCAGTGTTTCGGAAGTAGATTATAAATCTTCAACTTGTTTCACACGTAATCGACCGCTCAATCAAAGGTCCATGTTCTGCAATAGGTATTAATATGATTACGCTAATTGTCAACAGCAGTATGTTTCAAATTTTTTCGCCGCTTTTATATAAACACATATATTATAAGCAATCCATTTCCCATAGCTGTGTATCACGACGATGGTACTGACCGCAACATGAACCAATTCGGTTAAGAATTAAATAGGCATAAACAGAAACTAAATCCAAGGATAGTTTTTCATTTTAATTGAACTTTAATAATAATTAAGCCTAGAGGAAAATACACTTGTCTAGTGATGTTTGCGCAGTTCCTGTTGACAATGTGTCATGAATTACACAGACGTAATAAATAGCCTTTAAGTATTTGGTTTCTATTAATGAGAAGGATCTCAATATTTGAGTAAGGAACTATTCGGTTGTTTCATTTAAGTAAAATTACTTGCGAAATAAACAAATTTACAGCCTCAGGTATTGTTGCCATCCTGTTTTTTGTTTTGGTGAAACTAATGTGTAAACAGTCTGCTTTGACAAAACATTGTAGGCACTTTTCCAAGATGCATTGTGTTTATCGGCTACTGCTCTGGCTAATGAATGACCATGTCACTGAAGAAAACAAGGATTCTCTGACCAAACAATAGCCCAATTTCCGTTGATACAGACAAGGGGATGAGCGAGACGGGGACAATGTCTGAAGGTCTGGTGGACTGTTGCACTACAGGAATAAACAAATAAATCACAGCTACTCAATGCACAGCTGGATTGAAATTTGTGAAGCCTGGAGAAGGTTACTCATACGTAAACCGTTAGAATTAGGATCATTGCAGAGTATATGTTTTAGCAGTAGATCCGTTAAGATGCTTAGGTTGTTTGTCTGCTGAGTTGAAACATTGCGCTTTGGTTTCCGTCACACATTGAGCAGTCCGATGGCAATGAACTTGGCATAAATTCCAAAACATTCAAACGCAGCGCCTTTTTCTGTAACGGAACATATGTTAATTCATAGTTTAACAAGCTGTTGACTTATCCTTTTGTGTAAAACTGTTTTGTGGCGAAGATTCAGAAATTAAGGAGCACTTCCTGTTAGATAATGTTGAAAAAAAGATTGACGAACACGGGACTGTAGGAGAAATCCTGTTAAAATTAGCCAAATGAGTCAGTAATAGCATTTAGTCCCAGATTTGGTCAAAACAAAAAGAAATCTCTAGAACTGTTATAGTTACTGCAGTTAATAAGTTTCCCTCACCTACCAATACAAATTTAATCTCTTCATTAGGATTCAGGCGTTTTTCATAATAATATTCAAGAACGTGTAGGACTTTTAACTTACTCTGCTACTTTTAGCTCCTCCTATAAGCAATTGACCCTTCACTCACACCGTTCAAACTACTGACACCCAAGAAATCAATATACACCTTTGTTTGAACTCTGGCCAAGTACATCCAGCCAGTATCATTGTTATGTTCTTTCGCAGACTTCCATTTTTCTTCTGTTATGGGATTGTGGGAGCGATAAAATATATCATTGGGAACACCAATTCTTGCTTCTTCGTGACATCCTAGAAAAGCGATGGGACTTAGTTATGAATCCAGGACCCAATCTGCCTCCCATAAATTGCTCACACAGACGTGATTTCGGTGCTTCGAATTTACCTTTCATCATTCGGTGAGTCGCGTCCTTTTTCGTTTTTTTCATTACTTTTCTGTATGCGAATATAATTGACCGACAACCTGCGAAAATTATCACCGTACCTACTAGTTGCTTATCAACATTTCGGATACGATATCTTCAACTTTGGCTTCTTCAGGCCATCATTTTTAGAAATCAATCGCATGCATAAGGATGGCTTGAAAGTTCAGTATGTGAGCTCTAAACTCCAACCGGAAGTATTACACCTGGCACGAGATATCCTGAAAACAAATCTTGCGTATCAACAGCTAAGGGATTTATTAATTCGCGAGCTTAGCCTCAGTGAGGGTAAGAGAGTGCAACCTCTAGTTATTGAAGAATATTTAGGAGATCGCACTCCTACGCAACTATCGCGAGTCATGCAATGGTAGTTGACAGCTCTCCAGAGTATTCCATCTTTAAACAGGATAATTTTACAAAGACTCCCTACATATGTATAACAGATACAGGCTAACGCACATCATGATAACGAACGGAAAGACGTAGTCTTTATGGCCGGTAAAATAATGGAAATACTAGCACCATAGATCACAACGTTATCGACTCGTGCAAGTGACGACCTACTCGTAAAAGCTGCGCACTCTGCAAGAGCAATTGGCTCCCACTGCCATCGCCAGCCAAAGGCGCAAGTCTCGGTCTAGCTAGCTGCGTACTCAGAGCGTTAGTCCTTTAAGTAGCATTTGTTATTTTCACCGGAGCTTGCGTAACAAGGCTCGGAAATGCATAAAGCCGTGTCGAATTTCCAATTCGGGAAATGAACACGCCAAATCATAATGACGACGACTCAAGCTAACATATGTGAGCCAGGTAGATTCTTTTACTTTCGAGACATGAAATCTGGCATGCGATTCCTCACAGATACTGCTGCAGAAGTCAGCATGGTTCCCTTAAGTCCGGAGGACCTGAAGCACTGCGCGATATACAGCCTGCAGGCAGTAAACGGTCGCCAATCCGATCCTATGGAGAACGTTCTATCACGCTGAACCTTTGTCTCTGAAAGGCATTCCCTTGGATTTTCATTGTAGCTAAACTGCTGACTACCATACTAGGCCTCGATTTCTTTGGGCGCCACGACATTAGCGTCCATCCCAAGCGCTGTCAAATCATCAATGACCTAACGAAACTATCCCGGTCCGGTTTCAGAAGTTCCATTGTCTATGAGTCCGCAGCTTGTCCCGCCTCTAGCCACTCCAATGTACTTGGAGGTGTTACGGGAATTTAACAATATAACAAAGCCTGGATACCAATCTGGTGATGTCAAACATTAGATCGTTCATAGGATAAAGACAACAAGTAGTCAAGTTTTCCATCGACCACGGCGATTAGCGCTGATAAACTTTCTGTGGCGAAGGCTGCATTTTACCATGTGCTGCAGTTGGGTAGAATACGTCCATCCAGCATTACATGGGCATGGCATCTATATATCGTCCCGAAAAATAAACCTGGAAATTGGAGACCTTATGGGGATTATCGGGGACTGAACATTACCCCAGTACCAGACAGATATCCCATTCCCCATCTCCAGGATTTCTCATCTTTGCTTAACGGAAAACAAGTGTTCAGCAAGATAGATATAGCGCGGGCATAACACCAGATCCCCGTACATCTTCAAGATGATCATAAGCCTGCCGTCACCACAATTTTTGGCTTATTTGAGTTTTCGCGAATGTCAATTGTTCTCCGCAATGAAGCTCAGATATTGTAACGTTTTATGGTGCAGGTCGTTCGCGAGCTAGATTTCATTTTCGTTTATATTGACGAGGTCTTGGTTGCAAGTCGGAAATATGACTACCGTTTGCGTCATCTGTGACAAATTTTCGAACGAATCACATATTATTGAGTTGTTATCACTGCGGTAGAATTTCTCGATCATCGTGTTTCTTCCTCCGAAATTACACCCCTACCTGACAGTGACAGCTATCTCGGAGTACTCTATCCCTGATTCCGTTAAAAAGCTACGTCGATTTGTAAGCATGGTTAACTTCTACAACGTTTCATCTTGCACTGTTCCGAGTTAGCCCACCCACTTACCGTGCTACTCAAATAGGATGCAAGATCATTCGGCTTCACTAAATCATCCACACGGTCATTCAGCCATGTAAAACAGCAGTTAACGACTGCCATTCTCCTCTTGCATCTAGATCTTAAGACCTCGTTACACTTAACGGTGGATGCTTCAGATGCAGCGATAGGTGATGTGCTGCAACCAAGACTGGGAGTTGAATTGTATCCGATTCCCTTTTTCTCTAAGAAACTTCAACCTCCCGAACGACACTACAGCACGTTCAGCAG